TCCATAAAGGGTTGGACCCCTCCCCCTCCTCCATAGCAGTGGTCAAGATACCCATACAATCCACCTTGCTCCTCTTACCCTCCTGTATGGTGTCCTCATCAATATCCATATCAAGCTCCCCCTTGAACCCTTTCCTTTTCCCAGCTTTCCTTTCCCTACCTGTGTTGATGTTCACTTTTTCCTCTGGTTGCCTAGGTGTCCTTGGGGACCTTAAGGTTCTGTGGATACGTCTGGACTGTTTAGCCAAAGCTTCTTTGATCATTGGTCCACCCTCAACAGTTATATTCGTAGATGCAGCACCTGGAGTTTCATCCTTCTGTCCTTCATCCCATGGGATTTGGATTATCAAGTTAACTTGTTCAGCCTCCATCATTGGACCTTCAGAGGCTGGTTTGACTGTGAACTGTTCTTCAGGTTGAGATATCCCCTCATATGAGCTCGGCAATTTGGGTTCCAGATTACCCCCCTGTGATTGTCCAATGTGTAGAATTTCCGTTAACTCCGAACCTACCTTGCTACCAGATTCATTAAGCTTCTCTGAGAGTACTCTCATCTCTCCTAACAAACCATTTTCCTGGCCATCCTGGCCCCTGACATTGCTTGTCTCCAGCCCCGTATCAGCCACAAGCTTCCTAGCTAGACCACTTTCATTGTCAAGCTGTGTTTCCAGGGCTTTTTCTAGGCCTGCAGATTGCCTTTTCTCCCTCCACTCCCCATCTTGAAGTCTCCAGTGATGTTTTTGGGGATTGTACACCGTACCAACTTGTTGCTTGTGCTGAGGACTCCTCACATTGCCTGCCCTTAGCCAAGGGCCATATTGGTTATCCTTTTTCCCCAGCCCCTTGTCATCTTGCCTCTGGCAATTTCTCTCACTGTGTCCAATGATACCACACTTATAACAAAAATCCGGGCACCTCTCATATTTGAAACTAGCCCATTTAGTTTGTTCACCCACCTTGACAATGGTACCTCGCAGTAGTGGTTGTGAGATGTCTGCCACCACAAAAAGTTTCAAGTGTCTACCTTCTTTCCCACCTGTTTGAGGGACAATTACCTCTCTTACCGACTGAAAGTTTGACCCAAGCCTTCTCCCAGCTTCCTTTGACATCCAATGGACTGGTAAATTCCATACCTGTACCCATAAGGGAACTGACCTGAAAGCCTCAGCATCCTCCTCTATCCCTTCATACCACTCGCATAGCACCAGCACTTGGTTGTCCACTATCCACGGTCCACCAGACAGAATCCTAAGTCTATCATTTGCTGAAGGTAAGATGAATTGGAACAGATTGGGTCCTAGCTCCACCACCTGTAATTCTCTTGGAAAACTCCACGCAGCTATGACAAAGTTCTTGATTCCAGTATAGTTCGATACTTTCTCTCCCACGACCTTCCCAATCAAGCTACTTCTACACTCTTGAACCCCCCCACCTATTTCCTCATGTCCTAGGGTAGTGGTTTGGAGCTCTGCACTTGAGAGATCAAAGTTTTGCAAAATCTCAGCCAGTTCCTCCGCCATGGAGAAGATAAATCAAATGGTATTCCACACACTTCCTTCCGAGTAAAAAAGCTAACCCAGACGTAAACCAAAAGGGGCGGATCTACTATAAACTACCAGAAAAAAACTAAAAAGGTAAAGAAGAGCTAAGACAAACTAAAAGGTGATAGCTTGGGAAAGCAGAACATAGATATGAAATTACCTGTCCCAGCACATACTGGTTTCCAAGGGGTCTGGAAGCAGTAAAGCAGAGCTGCAGTTCAGGAGACTAGAGTGTTTTTCTTTTTTTTTTATTGTTGCATCCTTCTTCTAAAGTCGCTTCAGCTTCCCCTGCTCCTTCCTCTGCTTCGAAATGTACTAATTGCTAGAGTTTAAAGGATTTATTTTTGTCTTCGACAGTGGATTTCGACCGCCAGTAGTTATCGTACCCTAGCCAGTTACAAAGATTGTTGGTGCTGGTCTGCAGAATGCTGTTGTAGATCCGACAACCTTTAAATTCCTAAGCTGATGAAAGAAGTCCAAAAAGGAAGGTAGTGGCCGAATTGGATGCACCAATAGCAGAGTTCCTTGAATGCGTTGAAAGTGAATCCTTCCAAAATTAGCTTTTGAAGCTTGTCTGAAGCTCCCACCACAGGGAGAGAAAGCTCTCTTTAGAGAGAGAAATGCCTCCACTAGAGAGAGGAATTGTATTCTTGTCAGCAGCGGTTATTAGATGATATGGAAACTGGATTTGCATTCGAAGATGAGCATGCCTAGAATATTATTATGGGTAAATTACAATTTACCCCCTATGGTATAGTTAATTTTCACATAGCCCTCTATAGTTTTAAAAGCTATATATAACTTCCTTATAATTTGGATTAAAGTGTCAAAGTGACGGAAATGATCATTCGTAACGAAACCTATGAAAATGTCACAATTACCCTTGTTTAAAAACTAAAATGGTTGAAATGATCAAAATATATAAACATTATGGTGGACTTCATGACCATATAATATTCTGAGTAACAAATTATTGTTTCTGTCATCGAATTGGTCACAAAGCAAACTACTAAGTAGGACAAGTCACCAATCGTAATACAGAGATCATTATAGAATTCGGTAAGGTCAACAATTTTAAGATATGCTTTCAGTTGATTAAGTCGTGCTTGTAGAAAATTCATAGTGTTGATTGAAGAAACTATTCTTATAAAATAAACATTTGAGAAGCAGGGCGTTCGCATTTGACATGTAAAGGCACAAAACCTGGTATAAAAGACATCTATACCTGCAAGACCAAATAGGTTCCCACGTCTGCTTTCTATGTGTCAGATGCAATTTTTATAATTCATCAAAACTTGGAAGTCCTGCCAAAAAGAAGAAGATCATGTAAATGCACATACTTAGCTTTTTGGTTGGTTGTGGGAACCTTCAAAAAGTATGATAGCGAAAACAGGTTGAATCCGAGGAAAAACAGGTTGAACCCCTGTGTCGACCAAAAAAAAAAAAAACAGGTTGAACCCGAGGAAAATATAACTCTAAACGTCCTATAGAGACCGAAATTAAAAAGAAAACAGTTTTAATTAAAACAATCAATTAACAAAATTTGGAAAATTAAAGAAGCCAATCAATTTAAAATAACTCAGTTCAAAGATTAAACATCCTCTCCATAGTCCAGGTTGATCATGGAACTGAAATAATCATCCCTTCAATTCAAGCAAATAAATTTGATTTTTTTTTTTTAAAGCTAAGGAAAGTCGAGACATTCAATAGTAAAACTAATCAAAAAAAGTCTCCAATGATTCCTTGTTTTCAAATGAATTCAACATTGACAAGCAATTCTCATTCATTTCCAAGTGAGTTACCAAATGAATGACTAATGTGAGTAATCAGAATTAAAACTGAACCATTACCAAGTGATTCAATAATATGAACAATTAAGATGAAAAGCCCTCTCATAGTTGTATGTACTTTCTACAAATATGAAAACTGGTACCAAAATATTGACAACCCATTATTATCATCGACCAAAAAAATTTGACTAGAAGCTAAATACTAATCATAAAGTCACATAAACAAGACAATGAAACAAACCGAAGTCTGAAAAGACAGCCCAATTCGAGCGCTAGTCTACAACCCCTGAATGGCAAGTTACATAAGATCTGTACTTGTTTGGATAGTGTATTATTTGAAATATTATTTGGAATAATTACTGTAGTACTTTTTGTGATGTGATGTATGTGAAATAAAAAGGTGATTGGGAATATAAAAAGGTAGGTTGGGAAATGTGTTTGTGATGCAAACAAAATATTATTTGAAATAATGGAGGTAAAAAATAGAGAGTAGAATGAGAAGATTGTGTATAGAAAGTCAAGCTAGGAATTGAATGGCAAGTTACATAAGAGAACTTTAATAGAAAAAATAGAGAGTAGAATGAGAAAATGGCGTATGGAAATTCAAGCTAGGAATCAATTTGTGCGAACAAAATTCAACGAGCAACCCATTCCCACGCCATCTCTCTAACGGAGGAGAAAAAGAAGAAGAAAAAAAGGTAAGAAATATAGTACTCTCTTGTGTATGGAATTTTATTATTGCTGAAGAAGAAAAAAAGGTAAGATTTTGTTTCATTATTTCCAAAGGAACAGTTGTAGTTTGATCAGAAGATTTCATCTAGTTTCTTTGATTTTCATTTCTAATTTGTTTGGGACAGTTATCCACATAAACTGGAGAGAAAAGACGAAACAGGAAAGAAAGGAAAACAAAGGAATTTTGCACAGGGTTTTAGATTTTTTCTTTCTTTTTTGGCATTGAGAGCTGTTTTTAAGTTCTCAACGCAATGAAACACTGAATAACAACAATACTCAATTTATATAAGACAATAATACAAATTTTAGTACCAAATACCTATGTCATTGTCATACATGCAACTGTGACCACCATTCTACTTTATAGTAACAAAAAATCCAGTTTTTATTTTACTTTCCTTCTGTTTCTTTGATTAATAGTGGTTGCAAAAAAGTATTATAAGCTAAACAGAGAGAAGCATTGGTGGTTCTTTATTTAGGAATAGCAGAAGCCATCCAGAATTTTCTGAATTAATCTGACTGAAATGTATAAAAGGAACTGCATATAGTTCAAAAAGCTTGCAAGCTTGTGGTCTACTTGTTTCAAGGATCATATTAATCTGCAGCAACAGTAAAGAAGATTGCAGAAATTGTGATGATACATACGTTACAATCATTATTCAACATCTAATCGCCAAAAAAAAAAAAAAAAGAGTAAAATGGAAAACACTTTGGAAACAGATTATGATAGACAATGGCATAACTATGCTTGCCACTGCAATCAACTTCAAACCAAAGACTTCTGAAGCTACAAAAGTTGCTTTGAGCAACATGAATAACTATTATGTGATTCAACTGACTCAACATATACACACAGCACTCTACAAGAAAGACCAATCAAATGAGTGGAATCCAACTCTGGACATGAATAATGGTTCATTTATTCAGATCATATGTGATCAGAGGAACTCCTCCCTCTCACGTTCCGATCTTAGCTCTTTATCCAACGTGGCTCCAACAACGATCTTTAGATCCTCGTTTCCCGCGTCCTTCTGTTCTTGCTGAATTTTTTCTACAGAACTTACAAGAGACTTGCGACCAAATTGCACCTCAATCATTTCAATGGTAGAACTTTCCCCAAAACAGGAAGGGACCTCTTCCAGCTGTCGACATTGAAACAAAACCAATTTCTCAAGATGAGGAAAACTATCAGAATTGGCAGTCCAACTGCGAAGATTCAAGTTTGACAATTTCAAGAATCGGAGTTTAGAGAACTCCCCTTCCTGCATTTCCCAAGTTTCACCCTCGAAGGATCTGTAGCCTAATTTAAGCACTTCAAGATTGGGCAGCTTTCCAATTGTTGAAATTTCACTCCATGGCTGACCATTGTCTGAGAGAGTGAGCTTTTTCAAATTCATTGGGAATTCAAACTTGCAGTAGAAAAAATAATGTAGCTTAAGTGATTCTAGTCGTCTCAAACTGCCCAGCTTGAGAATCCCACTAGGATCTCCAGGATATTTTCCTCCCACGCATTTTAGTCTGCGGATGCTTGGTAACTTTTTCAGTATCTTTTCCAGACTTTCACCAGAGCAGTCAATTGCAAGGCTAAAAGTGTCTAAATGATCTAGAGCCTGGGAGTCTTCAATGTCACCAGTGGGTAAACTAAAACCACGCAGCGAGGACTCTGTTATCCTTAGATGTCTCAATGTCTTGACTTTCCAGATAGTATTTGGCAGGGCAATAGCACCAATACCTCCTTTTACAAGAAATGTCTGTAGTCTTAAGAGGTTGTCTATTGCAGAGGGGATGGACTCCATAAACAAATTAATTGCCAAGTATCTTAAGTGAACAAGCAACAATAATTCCATTGGAAAACTGCCATCAAAACGTAGTTCCCCAATATCTAAAACTCTAAGAAGTTTTAATATCGGAAACCAAAGGGAACCATCACGGAGCTCTATTAAATTCCAACGAGCATAACGAAAGAGGAGCAAGCAACGTAATTTGGGAATGAATAGCCTTGACTTCTCAAGCTCCTCTCCGTTGGTCAAGTGGATAAACATTCGGTGGGGGCAGGGCGTCGTAGAAGTAGAAGGGTCATTACCCCCATGTAAAATCTGAAAGAAACTTTCTTCTTTGGCCTTTGTCACACAAAACTCATGTACCAAATCATGAAGTCGGCAAGCCTTGGCACCAACTAGAGTTCTTTGTTTGGTAACCGTTACTAAACTTCTACCAATCAAATCCTTCATGTAGTCTTCTGCCACGTCCTCTAAGCTCTTCCCTTCTGTCTTTTGGACAAATCCTTCAGAGATCCAAAGCCATGACAACTTTCGGACAGGAATGTCTTGGTCTTCTCGAAATGCACCGAAGTAAAGAAGGCATGGCTTCAAATATTCGGGTAAATGAATGTAACTCAGCTCCAATGGTTCAGTCTTAATCGAAGTGCTAGAACTAAGGCTGTTTGCAAATTCTTGCCAGCAATCTGGCTCCATTCTGGAAAGAATTCCAGCAAAAATGACAACTGTGTGAGGGAGCCCCTTGCACTTATTTGCCACTTGCATTAAAATTTTGATTAGCGCTGGAGGACAATTTTCTTTGCCAATCTTCATGTGAAGCAATTCAAGACACTCCTTATTGCTACGATGGCAGAGATGGTAAGGCTCGCTATCAGGTTTAAATTGCAAAGACAAATTTTGAAACCTACTGGTGAAGAGAAGCCTGCTTCCACAGGCATCATCTGGAAATGATAATTTCAACAAATTCCATGGCTCAATGTCCCACACATCATCCAAAATGATGAGATACGTATTCCTCTTCAAAGCCTGGTACAACATTCTAGCCAAATCATTTTCGTCCTCCTTCAGATATTGGTCAGGACTCCCACTACCAATACCAGATAAAATCTGAACTAACAAATTGTGCTTGCTATATACTTGAGAAACAGTACACCAAGCACGAATATGGAAGTGGCCTAAAATTGAACGGTGATGGTAAACTGTGTTGGCTAATGTTGTCTTACCGATTCCAGCCATACCAACAATTGAAACAATATCCAGCTGCTTTGAACCCCTAATAAGTTTATCTGTAATTGTCTTTGCCTCTTTATCAAGGCCCACCAGAACTTCATTCAGTGCTGGCGCACTGAATTGTGATTCCAAGTGAATAGATTTGTTTGTAACTCCCTGAGCTTCGTTGTCACTCCTGATGCTGTGAGAGATTTTAAGAGCCTCGGTCTTCATATGCTTGATATCTCCTGCAATGACATCCAAACATTCAAGTCTATCCCCAAGCGCAATGGAGTCGATGACTAACTCTGCCTTGTGGGCCACCTCCATAACACCATTCCAAAGAGCTTGTAATTTTACGTTCTGTTTGCGCTGCTTCATAATTCTCCATAGGATAGATCTTAAAAATATAACATCTTCTTGGACTCTTTGGATTTGATCCTTTGGGAAAGAAATTGAACCAGCCTCAGACGTTGCTACTTCCTTGAGATTTTCTAAGAAGAAATCAATGGAGCCCAACTCGTTGGTCCTAGGGAAACCGAGTGATGATGATGTTGGTGGATGAGTTTGTGCAACTTCTTGCATCACAAATTGGAGCTCTTTCACCAAACGAGAAATTGCAAGATCTGTTCCCTTAGCCAAGCCACGTTTGATTTCATTCACTGAAAGGGAGCAAATTAAAATTCCTAAATCAATGATCACAACTCCAATACGATCCTTCACTTTGTCAGGTAGCGCATAGAACTCCTCTTGCTTCACAAAGAGAAGGATACTGATGAATTTTATTCCCTGATGGAGTTTCAGCATATGATCCTGCACAGGAACTTTAAAAGTGGCATGACATTCTAGTATCTGCCTAAGAGCACCAAGGAGAGAATCAACAAATTCTTCCACTATATACTTGTTCTTCTCAGGAGCAAAAGTGAGTGGTGACTTTGGTAGTGCTTTTGAAGCTTTCAGCAAAGCTTTCATGACGCGCACAGAAGTTGCACGAAATTGGGGATCAACAAGCTCAATCTTGCGTTGCAGTTGAGAAATTTCAAATTGGATGTCACTGAACACCTTTCCTTCAAAATAAATAGACCAATATACTTTTCTCAGGCATTCGGCATTGACGACTAGGAATGTATAGTGAGTCAAGAGATCTATCAGCTGCATCTGGTCAACACCTTGCATTGTAGCAATGCAAAGTAGATTTTTTGAGAACATTACCTTCTGGAGAAGGTCTTCGGTTAGGTAACTGATATTTTGATCAATTCTTGCTCTCGATTTAAGATAATTCCTGAGGCCCTTGACGATGAAATAAGTGTTGTTGTCTCCATCATCTGGCAGTGGCAATTCCAGTACGTATTGGTTTAACAATCTCACACGCAATTTCTCAATATCCATATTGAAGAATCTCTTATTTTTCTCCAATTTGCTGAGCTTTGAAACTAACTGACGGAATTCCATAAGTTATCTTAGGGAAATGATTAATAACCTGGTTCCAAAATCCTGAATAACCTGCAAGAAAAGCAGAGGATAATTTTTAAAGAAATTCGCATGAACTTTTGTCTTGCTCTTTTTTTTTAATTAATAACCGATTTCTGGCAGCTTAATCTAAATGATTACTTAACAATCAGCTAACAGGCTGGGAAATAAGTAAAACCCTGAATCATCATGTTCTTTTTGTTATCATAAACCAAAATCCTTTCAGCCTTTTTTTCCTTCTTAATTTCTTGCACTTCATGTATAGCGTTTTTTCCCCTTCAATGTAGGATAAATACAACAATTTTCCAAATGATAATAGCACAAACCATGAACGATTGTCAACAGGTAAAGAAACTCAGCAGCTTGAGAAAAGAACGCAACAAGTGACTCCTTTCTATGAGTGACTGAAAGAAACTTTTTAGTTTAAGTAATGAATATTAGTTATTTGAGACAAAAGAAGTGAATTTACTATACCTGGTGCTGACGAGCAATCTATTATGGACTTAAAGGTAGAGACTGACTGTAGAAGCTGTAGCCACCAGCAAGAGCTTCGCCTTGCACCTCCTTAACAGCTGCCTCTTTCGCCTTACTGTTCCGACTACCGAGTATAAAATCCAGGAAATTGATCGAATCGATTCAGACGTTTAATGGACTAATCAAATAACCAGCGTCAGTGTGCCAGATATCTAAAAATGCTAGAGAAAATTGTAACTCCTACAAGCAAGTCTCCGTTTTCTTGCCAAAATATGCAACTGCTACTAGTAAGCCTGGAGAATTGTTCTACCAAACGCTTTGCTTTGCTGGAGTTAGTTGGTTTTTGGGTCAGAATAATATTGAGGTCTTGACAAGAAAGGGCGGCCGAAATATTAAATCTAGGACCAGTTAGATGCATCCACGAGTTATCTCCTCGTTGGCCAAAGTGAGCTGTGCTAGGTTGTCCATTAAGGAGCTCTTCTCCTCCTCTCCACTGTTTTCTATTTTTCTTCGTCTGCTAAAACATTCTTATGTGCTGCCCATTTTCTCCGGACTCTAACTTTGAGTTGCTTTAATAAAATACATACAAGTATTGGATTGGATTCGAATCATCAATGGGGCAGAAGGGGACTGCTCTTGATTTTCTTTTGAATCTTGCCAGTTTTATTGGTTGGTCATTTGGAAATTTTTGATGATTGAATACGAATTACAACTTCTTAAACCTCATCTCTTCCCTGTTAATTTTTTTTAAACACAAAAATTTTTTCGTTACCACCTTTTCTTGAACTATCGTTTCATCACAAAATCTGAACTAACAAATTGTGCTTGCTATATACTTGAGAAACAGTACAACAAGCACGAATATGGAAGTGGCATAAAATTGAAGGATGGCGGTAAACAGTGTTGGCTAATGTTGTCTTATCAAGTCCAGCGATACCCACAATTGAAACAATATCCCGCTTCTTTAAACCCTTGGTAAGTCTATTTGTAATTGTCATTACTTCTTCATCAAGACCCACCAGAACTTCATCCAGTGCTGGGGTACTGAGTTGTGATTCCAAGTGAATAGATTTCTTGGTAATTCTCTGTGCTTCATTGTCATTCCTGATGCTGTCAGAGATTTTAAGGGCCTCAGTCTTCACATGTTTGATATCTCCTGCAACGGTATCCAAACATTCAAGTTTATCCCCAAGCACAACAGAATCAATGACTAACTCTGTCTTGTAGGCCACCTCCATAACATGATCCCAAAGAGCCTGGAGTTTTCCATTCTGGTTGCGCTGCTTCACAATTTTCCATAGGAAAGATCTTAAAAATATAAGATCTTCTTGAACTCTTTGGATTTGATCCTTTGGGAAAGCAATTGAACCAGCCTCAGAAGTGTTGGGGAAAATCGGGTAATTTCCCACTCAAGAATACAACTAGTGATTAAATCGATTCAGTAATTCCCAGGAAAGATCGTCGAAACAATCTCCTTAGACAGAATTACCATTCCAAGTAAATTCCCAAGAAAGGCTGGAGGGGTCACAAGCGGTCCCACTTAAAACCCAGTCTCCTAGACAGAACTTACGTGCATGGTGTATTATCACAACTATACTCGTGTATACATAAATAATACGTATACACGAATAAGAAAGATACACCCAAATGAATCGTATAAAACACTACAAATAAACCCGACAAATATAGACAAATATATTGAATACTATACTACAATAGAAAAGAAACTAATAAATAATGCGGAACAAATAAAAGAGATAAGGAAAGAACGCACCCGAAAATTGATAACGGAGTTCGGCCAATTTTGCCTACTCTCCGAGCACCACTCAAGTAGCCTGCTTTTTTAATTTAAGAGAGAAGAAAGAATACAAAGAATTACAAAATCCTTATGGGTAATTCTTTGTTGTTCTTGGTACAATTCAATTGGAAGGCTTGAGAGCTATTTATAGCTCTTAAACAATCCTACAACTTCTAAAACAATCGATGTGGGATAAGAAGATTTTGCCAAAAAATCAACAATTGTGGGATGAAATGTTTGCCAAAAAAAATGTCAACATTGTGGGCTTGATTTACTGCCACAAAAGTCAACAAATCTCCATCTTGGCATAATTTCTAGTCCCACCAAACATACAAACCTTCTCCCTCAAACAAAAACAAATGGCCCTAGCGGTACCTCCAAATTTGCGCCCGCAAGCGCCAACTCAAATGTGCAGGATGTTAATCAAGTTTAAACAATGTTCAAACTTGGACCTTGTAACCACCTTGGTCAGCATATCTGCAGGATTCTCCGTAGTCCGAATTTTCTAGAGAAAAATTTCCTCTTCTTCGAGAATTTCCCGCACAAAGTGATAGCGAACATCAATGTGCTTCGTTCTTGCGTGAAAGACCTGGTTCTTCGCTAAGTGAATAGCACTCTGACTGTCACAAAACACGTCAATGTGTTTTTGACCAACTCCCAAGTCTTCAAGCAATCCTTGAAGCCAAATTGCCTGCTTCACAGCTTCTGTAATTGCCATATACTCTGCCTCCGTTGTAGACAAAGCCACCGTTGACTGCAAAGTAGACTTCCAACTAACTGGCGCCTTAGTAAACGTGAACAAGTAGCCAGTTGTAGAACGTCGCTTATCCAAATCACCTGCATAGTCAGAATCACAATATCCAACTATATATTGACCAAGTGATTTATCTTGCTCAAATACTAATCCAACATCTACGGTATTTTAGATATACCATAGAATCCATTTCACAGCTTGCCAATGACCCTTGCCCGGATCATGCATAAACCTGCTTACCACACTAACTGCCTGTGAAATGTCGGGTCTCGTACACACCATTGCATACATCAAGCTACCAACTGCATTAGCATACGGGACTTTCGCCATGTATGCTCGCTCTTCATCCGTCTTTGGAGATAATAGACTACTAAGTTTCAAATGAGGAGCAAGCGGAGTACTTATAGGTTTTGAATATTCATTCATGCCAAAACGTTGTAGTACTTTCTTCAAATACTGTTTCTGAATCAGACAAACCTTGCCTCTCGTTCTATCCCTGCTTATCTCCATGCCGAGAATCTTCTTGGCTTCTCCCAAATCCTTCATCTTGAACTCTTTATTCAACTGAGTCTTCAATTTATCAATTTCAACTTGGCTCTTTGATGCTATCAGCATATCATCAACGTACAAGAGTAAGTAGATGTAGGACTCATCTCGTAACTTGCGCAAATACATACTGTGATCGTATTTGCTTCTTGTGTACTTCTGGCCCATCATGAACTGGTCAAATCGTTTGTACCATTGTCTCGGTGATTGTTTCAATCCGTACAATGATTTGCTCAGTTTACAAACCCAATTTTCTTTACCAGCAACTTTGAATCCATCTGGCTGAGTCATATAGATTTCCTCCTTCAAGTCACCGTGAAGGAACGCGGTCTTCACATCAAGTTGAGCTAGCTCCAAATTCAACTATGCTACCAAGGCCAACAAAATTCTAATAGAGGAATGTTTTACAACTGGAGAAATATCTCATTATAATCAACTCCCTCCTTCTGAGCGTAGCCTTTAGCTATTAATCTTGCCTTGTAGCGAACATCATTCTTGTCGGGAAATCCTTCTTTCTTTGCAAATATCCATTTGCATCCAATTGCCTTCTTGCCCTTCGGTAGTTGTGTCAACTTTCACGTCTTATTCTTCTGAAGAGATTGCATCTCTTCTTCCAAAGCATCTTTCCATCTATCATTTTCTGTACTTTGAACTGGTTCAGAAAATGTGGATGGAACATTATCAATAACTGGAAGTGCATAGGCCACCATATCAACAAAACGAGCAGGTTTATGAATTTCTCGTCTTGCCCTATTGACGGCAAATGACTCTTACTGCTGTTGAGGTTCCTGGGTTGAAACCTCTTCCTCATCTGACTCCTCTTCTGCCATGGGAGAGTCACTGATGGTGCTGTTTGCTGGACTCACCATTATTAGCTCAAACTCCACCTGCTTTGGCGTACACTCCACCTGTTGCGGAGTACCATTGGTCCTATCTTGTGTTACCTTATTTAACATGGCAGATTCGTCAAAGGTAACATCCCTTCTGATAATGATCTTCTTTGCTTCTAGACACCACAAACGGTATCCCTTAACTCCAGCATTAAAGCCCATAAAGAGAGCTTTCTTTGCACGTGGATCCAACTTTGATTCGTTTACATGATAATATGCAGTAGAACAAAAAATACGTAAAGAATCATAATCTGTTGCAAGTTTTCCAGACCATACCTCTAATGGAGTCTTGCCACCGATTGCAGATGATGGCAAGCGATTGATGAGATGTTGAGCGTATGTCACAGGTTCAGCCCAAAACTTTCTGCCTAACCCAGCATTAGACAGCATGCAACGTACTTTCTCCACTAATGTCTTGTTCATACGCTCTGACACCCCATTCTGCTGCGGTATTTTTCTAACTGTGAAGTGCCGAACTATGCCACATTCTTGGCATATCTTCTGGAAGGGATCACTCTTG